CGTTAAGTAAAACGGACGGAATAAACCAAAGTGAACGGCCCGAAAGTAGCAGTGGACTGGAAACCTCTCTACTGCTATCGCGCCGTTAACTAATATAGCGCTTGGATTTACAAACCGAACGCCTGGAAAATACTAAATTTGGAGTATTTTGCGGCAGGAACCATTAATCTGATTGTAAATTATTCTTTTCCTTTAAAAAAAACGAGTTTATCTAAAGCCTGTCAGCAATAAATTTTTGGAACTTTTTTTTTGAAGAAAGAAATTTTGGGTTCCAGCTTTGTTGTGCTGCCTGTATAAAACGTATACAACAGGACAACTTCGAATAAAGACTGTATTCCAGAATAACAATATACAAGACAGCTTTCACGCATTCCTTTTCATTTTCCTTTTTAGAGTTTTCATCAAGAGTTCAAAGTTCAATTCGTGGGGGGTAAGAAACATACAAAAATCCATGTGACACTCTCGGTCCAGTTTTCAACACTGCCGAATGTTTTCAGACATAGCACATATAGGTCCATAGGTACACGTTTCATATGATACCAAACTTAAATGCTAAAAACATTGCAATAGTTTCTTTATAATATGTTTCATAGTCATTTTTTAATGAATACGTTACCGTTAGGAGTATGGTGCAAAAGGGACAGGGCGCTATTGTACGTAGAGTTTAAATGCTGTATAATTTTGGTTCCTCTCTCTTATTTCGTAATTTCATTAAATTGGGAACAGACTCTGCATTTCGTTGCAACAGAAGACTCGTGAACTAAAAACTTTCTCGCTTTCTCACAACATCCAATCCAGCGTGGGATCATGATTACGCCGGTGAGCCGATAGGAGTAAACTCCATTGATCCTGGCGTCAATAACGAAGGATAAAGATTTCCCGGGATAAGTAACCCATGGAAGACACTTTTTTATCTCGATCGCTCATTGGAGCGTTGAGGAGGGTGGCACAATAATGGGCAAAGTTGCAAAAAGGCAAAGGTAAAACCCGCGGCAAAAATGGAAAAACTGTAAAAGGTGCTGAGGAGCAAGAAAACGAATCGAAAGACAGCTTTCAAAATTATAATTCGAGGCGACTTCTTTGTCCAAATCTGGGCGCCAGCGTGGAGCTCTGCCAATACTAATCGCTTCACAAAAGGAATTCTCTTACTTTCTTCTTTGGACCTGTTTTCCTTTTTTTTCTTTCTTTTACCAAAGACTTTCTTCTGCTTTTGATTTTTCTACATGTAAACAACTTTTTCATGAGCAAAGAGCTTCTACGTGTGAATTTTGTAATGTGCGCAATCTAAACAAAATATTAAAAAAAACATAAAAAACGAGCCCCGTCAAGAGCGGTTGCCACAAAAATTCCCCCCAGGGGACCCGCTTAGGTTCGAGATTATGACACCTTCCTAGTTTATTGACCATATCAAACTCTTCCCCCGTGCGACGAACATTTGTTTTTCTCGGTTCCAGGTGTACGCAACCACTAACCCCACGTAATGCGCATGCTCTCCTTTACGAATTTTCAAAATGGCGGACAAGCCAAAGAGGGAAATAAAAAAAACAAAGCGATTTTGCAATGAATACTCAACATACACCCTCGTTAGAAAGGCGAATCCACGGAAGAAAGATACAAAACTGTATGATATTGAGATCGATATGATATTAATTCGATACCGAGGGCCCGTTTCCAAATTGCTAAGAGGTGCATTTAATTGCCTTCCGCCACGATCACTAGCTTTCTTGACAGCTTTCTGAAGACAGAATACTTTCTTACTGAAGACTTCTGATATGCGGCTATTGATTATTAGACCTCGTATACCTGATTGCTCAAACACTCTGTTTACGATTGTTGAAAGGACCGACTCATGGTTCTCCGTCTTCGTCTTTAAATTGCTTTGAAATAGTATAGATTAGTAAGCTGAAACGAAAAATTAATCAAGGAAGTTTAAGAAAAATCCAGAAAAACAAGCTTAAAAAAAGGCATTTTTAGACTTCATACTTCAACGAACCTCACAAATCTTACTTGTTTATCTTGTAAGTAAACGATGGAAGATTAATTCCCGAAGCGCTTTCTGAGTTTCCCGATCCCTCTCCTACTGCTTTCACGCTTACAAAACAGGAAAAAATCAAAAGAAGGAAGATACAGCTGTTTTGAAACGCCATTTGACGAGGATAAATCTGCTTTTTGTTCGACACTTTACATATCAAAACAAAGGAAATTTGTTCCTCTTTTTGATTCTGGGGGTACATTTTTAATTTGCGCCTGCGTAAAAGAGATATCGCCCGAGACCCTTCGCTCGGTCGTGTTTTGATCAAAAACGCCTTGTTAATTTCACGCAACCGCTCGGAGAAAAGGTAAAAATGACGAGGGAAAAACTTTACCTTCAAGTTAGAAAATTAGCGAAATAGAAAGCCACAATATTACAGTTTAATATTTCAGAGGTACATTGAGTGCTTTTTCCGTAGAGAATCCGTACGATGGTAAAACATTCGAAAATTACACTCGATTTGAGTGGGGTGTTGAAGTGGGCGTGGGCATTACATTCATGTTAAGACTATTTGTACCCCATGAGTTTGATATGTTTCTCTGAAAATACCTTTTTCAAAATAACTCAGGTGCTTTTAAAGATTTCAGAATTTTTTTTATGGAAACGTTAGGTTGAATGTTTGGATTCAGTTTGGTCTAATAAAAGAAAAATCCCATATTTGATATTTTTTTCATTCTCACCACTCTTCTGGATCAGGGTTCTCCTTATCAGACGGTAACCGGTAAAATTTACCGCTTGTAAGAGCACTTATTACCGCCTTCAAACGCTCAGAACCCTTAAAAAATACGCATTTATGGTGAGCTAATCTGGTAAGAAAGTGTAATAACAAGCCAACAGTGTGCACTATTATAGATCTACGTGTGCTTTAGTTAGCTAACACTGACTGGTACCTTTCGAATTTCGAAGCAAGAGTGATTTTTCGCGGGCTTTCCTTTAAATTTCATGACATTTGTCAGTTCTCTACCAAAACGCCAAAAACAATGCTGTCGTTTTTTTCTAGTAACAAGAGGTCACGAAGAGTGGCTGGTAAGCTGTACAAGAATTTTAGGGGTAAACAAAACAAAGGTTACGTACTAGCGATGGAAAAGCAGCCAATTGCCAGAAATAACCGCCTTAACAGCTCTACAATTGCCCCACGAACACGTGGGGACAAAGTTAGTCTTCATCATGAAATTCTACTTGAAATGTGTTTCAGACAACGGTTTGAAAGAAGCCTTTGAAAATAAAATCTCTCGACAGCGTAAAAGTTCTGAATTTGAGACGATTAGAACACGAATTCAGCCAGTCGATATGATTCGATTTCACAGCAATGCGATTCGTAGCTGACACCGCTGATTTTCCAGAGATATGCCATGTAAGTGACGCCAAAGATATCACCCGAAATCGAAGGGAGACCAGTTTCCGTCATGAGCAGTTTGGAAAGGGCATAGTCAAATACAATGGTTTTAAACAAAATTTTACTTTGTTTTGTTCAACCTCTGAACCTAAAGGTGTATCGTTCACATTATAAATTTTTCGATGGGGAATTTTTGATAGGCGCGATGTACTGTATGCTATAGGAAATGACAAAGTTGACAATGACCAGCCGCCTGAAGCTGCAACTGTGCTTTACCGGTTTGAAGAGGTCCCTTACCTGTTGTGCTGAAAACTAGGGAGAACCATGTGGATGGTATTGTATAGATATAGTAGGGAGAAATTCTGCCGTAGTCACTCACGGGAGCTAAAGGGTAAATACGGTGCCGCTTGAGACAGGTTCGACTGTATTTTCAAACTGAATTCTTTCGTCCGCCAAAGTGTGAATAGCCAATTTTAACATGTCATGTCACCATAACGACTCGCGATATCTTTTTGCCGCTCTCTGATTCCAGCCGCACAAACATCTCTTGATTTCAGTTACACGTCATTCTAAGCGAACAAAAGTGAAAAAAGGGAAATACATAGCAAGATAAAGTTAGTTTAGCCCATTTTTATTATTTTTTTTTTTAAGTGACCTAAAAAGTGGTTCCATAGGATGCATCTGTCAAGTATTTTAATTGTGTATTTCTAACAATTATACGGTACATACCATAAAAAAAACCGCTTAATTAGAAAGCATTAGTTTTATTGTTTGGATTTATACTTCAGCAGGAGCCCTACACCCTGATTACTGTGAATTTAAAGAAATTGAATAAAAATATACACAACGTAAATGCCTCTTTAAAGCGTAAAAATTAATAGAAATAAGATAATCACCTATACTACGAGAATGTAACAACCAAAACTCGAGAAAGTATAATAAGTGCCCCTGATATCAAATGGTCAGGTACTTAATCACCAAACTCCATGGTATCCACATTCTTAGTAATCTTAATGTTGCCGAGAAAGCAGTTATAGGTTTTGGTACTTCTAAAAGCGAAAGGCCACCGACCGCTAGACAGTCTGAATTTGGTAGACATAACCTATAATTATTTCAAGTGTTTCTCTTGCTAATTTTATAACGATTGGTGAATTTTGTGGCTCAGCCGCTTGGTGCTGGAATGGACCATCACAACGTTATTCAAGAAAATTTTGCCTTCTACATGTACATTGAGCCATGCTGGTAAGTGTTTGCCTTCTGATTCCATCGTTTTAATGCAATGCGAAACTCGCTCCTTTATTAAATTCAAAATCAGGCTCCAAGAACCTCAAGTGAATCATTGAATCCGCCTGAAATCCTGGAACTTAAGAGCAGAAAACAAAAGAATGTGTCATTTACATTGGAGTATCTCAAAAAGGCCTGCAACTTCTTTATCGCAAACGTTTCCAAATTCTAGAACACAAAAAAAGTGAGAAATTATTTTTTTTTTCCAGATGAAAGAGGGCAATTATTACCAATCTTAGCTCGCTTACTTCCTGGGATAAGCACTAAAGCACAAATACAGTAAAGTGTAAGCATTTTTAACGGGAGAACTCTTGAAAACTAGTGATAATTTTCTGAACCAGCCTCTATTTAGTCTGTGCTGCAGTAGCGGAGGGAACACACGGGTGTGCCAGTTATGTAGTAAACATAGTAACCGCCGCAGTTCATCACTTTGACGGAACTTAACCACCTGCAGCAATTTGAGTCCCAGTGGAAGCAAACTGTCCTGGTGACCTGACCATCAGCCACTGTGGGATGAGCACCATTTAGCCAACCGGATGCGTGAGTGTTACATCGGTGTTTTGGTGGACATGAGGTAGGCATTCTTGTACCTGCTGCTCCTTCAAAACGATACCAACCATGCATTCCCCTGTCGCAAACCGTGTTTTGATTGCCATAGGTTATCTTTCTGTCTGCCCCGGTCAGACTTTGATAGTTTTGACATTCTAAAATGGACAGAGTAGAAATGATTGAAGTAAGTCCGAAAATTGAAACAAAACAGATAAAACCCTTGGTATTTGATTTGTATGGAATAAGTGCCCTGTACGCTATTTATTGGTACAGTTAAGAGGTTAAAATCTTCTGGTGTAGTGCTCTTAACGTTTTTGACTGCAGTAAAACACGTGATAAAAACACGGCCAATATCCAGCCATCATGACCAAGCAAACGAAGTCAGTCACAAAATAGTTTTACAGCCGAATAATCACATGAAAGAGTTACAACATGAATTCCATTCAGGTAGTGATGGTTTTCCTTGTTTTGACTTTCCCCGTTTATTGTTACAAGAAGTATTTCCTTTGGAATGAAGGCGGAACCGTCTCAAACATTCCCTAGCGCAAAAAAAAAAAAAAAAAAGTTTCGGTAGCGTTCGTTACATTATTATTTTTTGAGTCATTAGCTATCCTCTCCCTGTTGTCCATATGTAGCTGACACCGCATGCCTAGGATTTTACAATTGATGGTTTTCATTGTCACCCCAGCAATCGAACTCTAAAAGCAAAACTACCTACTGGATGCCCGACGCCAAGAGAGTGAGGTACTGTGCATTATCAATAGATAAACAATCATAAATAAACAATCTGCTCAAGTATCAGGTCTGCAGAGGTTTCCGCTGATGATTTATTCGCCAAATGTTTGACATGAATGTTAAGATCTCAGCATGAGGGTACCAAGTTGCTGCCTTCGTTTTTACTTCGAACCTTTTTAGTTGATCATTCATAGCGAACATATAAGCTGAGGACTCATAGACTTTATTAAGAGTTCCATCCAGCGCCAATGGGGGGATCAGTCGTCACCAACATAATATAAAGGGGGAACTATGGGAAATTGAATGTCAATTAACTGCCAATGAGGGGGGTCATAAGAATAATACAGAGCCTTATAGGGGGATCAGTTAAATTCTATCGAGACATAACTAAAATCCTTCAACCCAAAACTGGTCCCTATACTCTTCAAATAACTTTCAGGAATTCTCAGAGGGGGAGAGAAAATTCTAATAAAACTAAGTGGAGCTTCGCTTGTACGGCTTGTCTACTCTTGATGAGCTATAGATATCTTCATTTTATTCCATCAGCTCTACAACAGATAAGTTATAATATTGAAAGTAGCAAAAAGAAAGGAATCAAAAGCATTGACGAGATATTGATATTGCGGCTTTTCCGCACTCAGAACGGTGGGGTTACGTTCATGTCCCTGTGCTCCGTAGATTGAAACCTAATTTTAATACTTTAAGACTTAGTAGCCATGTAATAAAATGCTTATCAGCTTAGTTTTGTCGGTTTGTGGGGAAAATATTTGGCTCTCGGTCATGACGCATGTACCTCGCTGCACTTGGTCCTTGGCAAGAACATGGCCTCGAGCCAAATATTTTCCCGTTCGGCCGTCCCACATGGTCTAGTAGTACATAATATAACTATACATAAGTGAAATTGAAATTAACGGTTTACCGTGACTAATGTGACTGAGTTAGCTAATCACTGGGGAGATCATGCGCAGTAAGAATGTAGAGCAAAACTACGAGATAACCTCTCTTTGTGCTAATCTACTGCTACTGCCGACGTTAGCGAAATTCACAACAAGGAAAACACTACAATAAGTAAGATTGCTCCTGATCAAGCTATATGTGTCAGCCATGCAAAATGGTTTTGGTTTTTTTTTTTTTTTTCTTCACGTTTCATGGATCGTATTACCTAAGTGGGCTCGAGAAGCCTTTTTGGCGGGAAAAGGTAGTCTAAAATTATACCGTTCTGTGAAAATGCCGTGACATAAGCTCAGTATGGGAGTGGTATACAATCCACACTAGCATCCTCTCCATGGTTATAGTCATGGTTTCCCCAATCATTGCTTCTGCGATGAGATAAAAATTCCTCTTCACCTTGGCAGTGGAAATTATCCATCTAGATTGGACCATACCCCTCACCGCATGCAGCGCTCCGAAGAGCCAGGCCTGCACCAAAATAGCTAAGCTGATGACAAACCACTTTGGCTTCGTTTCTTGCCCGGTGATCATCGCAAACTGTAACCCACCGCCTGTTGTGGTAAACTTCTACGTGGCCGTAGCTATGTCCTCTACCTACTAAACGGATGGATGCGCCCTCCGTGGTATTATGATAAATTTAATATAATACCTGAATAAAATATACTTTTGGTAGTCTAAAAGGCATTTATTTTTGTATGTGTGGAATTCTTTGTTTGGAACCACTAATTACTTAAGTTGTAAAATTAAATACAGAGGTGAATTAAATAAATAAGGGTGCACAATAGCCTTAAAAACTATAAGAGCTTGTCAGAGTAGGAAATTATCAATCTTCAGAGCCAGGGAAAGAGGTAAGAGGCTTATTCCGCTAAAAAAAAAAAAAGAAAAAAAAAAGACCTCTTGGGTTCTGAAGAAGTTTGATCAGTGGCTAGAAAAGCTGAAAATAAAACTGTTATCTTCACTTTATAAGCCTTGTTAAGCTGAATGGAATTCTGCGAAAATTTCATGCCGAGGTGAAACAAACCAGAAAACAGATCTCCCACCAAGTGCCTCATTGACACGTATTTGAGCTGGTATACGAAGCTTCTGCACGGAAAGGTTTAGGTTACTTTCCACTTTCAGAGGCCAAAAAAAGAAATCGGTTTTTCTCTAATTTAACTAAGCTGCATTCAAACATTCAACCTAACGTTTTCATAAGTAAATTTCTGAAGTTTATAAAAGCACCCGAGTTATTTAGAAAAACGTATTTTCAAATAAAAGTTAAGAAATCAGGTGAAAGCTAAAGAGTGACGGTCACTCGTGAAAGCTATTCGTTTATGGAAAGATCTTTGCTCATGGAAAAATCAAAAGCGAAAGAGAGTCTAGGGTAAAAAAAAAAAAAAACAAAAAAAAAACAGGCCTAAAGAAGAAAGAAAGAGTACAATTCTCTCAAGAAAAGAAAACAATTCCTTCGTGGAGGCGACTGCTACCGGGGTAGCCCCACGCCGGCGTCCAGATTTCGAACAAAGAAGTCACAGTCACAGTCACAGTCACCGTCCTAACAAAATTTGCCTTACATAATGTTAAAAACGAGGTTTGCTTTTCTCTATGCAAGTACCAGCCTCCATACAAAAACGTTAACGGTCGCCTCGAATCGTAATTTTGAAAGTTTTCTGCCGATTCGTTGTGTTGCCCCACAGCGCATTTTGCGGTTTTTTGCCGCGGGTTTCGCCTTTGCCTTTGCCTTTGGCAACTCTGCTCGTTATTGCGTCGTCCTCCTCAGTGCTCTACTGAGCGATCGAGAAAAAAAAAAAAGCTGGCTGAAATGGGTTTGTTTCCACGGGAAATCTTGATCCATCGTCATTGACGCCAGGAGGTCCCATTGCCTTATTGTTTTGCGGGTTGAGGAGGCGAGATAATCTTTTGGCGAGGCGCGAGTTGTTTGCGAATCTTTATTAGCTGAAATCTTGCATCGGATTTTGGAAGGAATACAACCAATTTGAGCGAATTTATTGGGTAGATAGATTTAATCGATTTTCATCAAATTTTCGCCAAAACATTCTAGGAATAGTGGCAAGAAAATTGTGTCGGGAAATTTTGATACTTAAAATATTTGTCCCGTGGCGTCCATTTACGCAATACACCTCGCATATTTTTAGCTACTCTAACCTTAGATGTCGATATCTAGACAACTTATCAGAATATCGAAAAATCCTGACATACTATCGTTGATTGATGCCTTGTGAATAAGAATGTGCAGCCATTTTGCTCGTGCTTCGGCATCCGATACCCGATAAATTCAATAGAAGAACCTTCGCACGTTTCACCCCTTACCGGCACCTGACACTTCTTTAAAAAGAAATTAGCTTACATTATATTTTTACCATATTCTGCAGTTAAGCTTTCTTCTGACGTATAGTTTGCTAGGATTTTAATGAAATTAGCGAGCGTACGAATTTTTTCCCGAAGGACACCCACGAAGGCGTAAACCAAAACTGCCCGCACAATCCGAGAAGACAAATCTATCGGTGCAAATCAACAATGTCAAGGTCCATGGGCTTAGTCGGTGGATGGGGATGACCGCGGGCTCATTTACGAACACCGACGGCTAATCGGAGAAAATATCAAATGTTCCCTCATAGTTTTGATCCTCACAAATGTTTTTTAAAACAACAAGTTAAGAACTAAAAGATCTGTTATCTGTAACTGAAATCATCCCGCCGTACATTTGATCAACTTCATGAGCCAATGAAAGTGCGTGTGTATTTCATCTAATTACAAACATAGAGATAATTGTATAGATTATTAAATGTCTAGATGACTTGTGACTTGTGGTTAGATATAGATAGATACACAGATAGCTAGAAAGATAGAAATATAAGAATTTTTCTAGTTCTACCTTCTCTATTGCAATAACGCCATCCATTCCCTTGATATCCAGGCAAACATGTGCAGACATATGAGCCAATTGTGTTAACACACCGAGCGTTTGAATGGCACGAATATGATCCCGTTTGACACTCGTTCACATCTGTAAAAGGGTCAGTACATGTTCGACTTAATCACTCGCAAAAACAATCTTTCTAGAGAAATTAGTGTCTTTCTTAGCGTGAGTGTGCGTTTGTGCGCTTTTCTTACAACGGTTAACAGAAGCAGCGCTAAGTTATTGTGTTAGCTTGGCTAACATTCCACCTGAATTTCTATCGAGGTGTCAGGAGTTTTTCCTCATAGGCATCGCTTAGTTGCCAAGGGCAGAACAGCAGCAGTTTTTGTTCCATGTGGAAAGAGGGTAATGGAATAGTATTTGGTAGAGTTAATATTTCAGTAGGTGAAGCTTAGGGTCTATATGCAATTAATTTTTGCAGCTAAACGCAGAAAAATCAATGAAGTCCACTTGAAGAAAGCCGTCATTGTGGCCAGGTAGCTGGTGAAAACAGGAATTGAAGGGCGTGTTGAAATGTGGTCTTACAGTAAATGAGAGCATTGAATTCAGCGAATAGTGATAGGAGTTAAACATTTTCGTCGGCTTGGTTCTTAAAAATGTAATTTATATTTCACATCTCACCTGAACAATACCGACCACTCCCTCGAAATCCACGCTCACATTCACAGTCGTACGAGCCGATTGTATTAACACAATCGGCGTTTGAAGCGCAAGAATGTGATCCCGTTATACACTCGTTTGTATCTGTCGAGGTTAGATTTAAATTTCATTTCATTTTTCTAATGATTGAGTCCTACCTAACCGCCCTAATTGACGATTTTTACGAATTTTAGTCAAATTCGTCAAAGCGATATCAGGCCGGTAGATTTGACGATTTTGACGAATTTTCGCCATCTCGCCATTTCATGTAGCCATTTCCGTTACTGCATGCATTTCTAGACATATCTTTAAAAACGAAGTCAGAAAACAGGAGATAACAGGCAGATTCCAAATAATGACTCTTTAGACTTTTACCCCATTCATTCCAAATTTAAGCTCAAACATGTTTTAAAGATGTTTTGTTAAACACGGTTTTGAATTTGTTTTCTTAATTATAGAAGCTGCCTAAAACCAATTGTGTCAACTTCAAATATACAAGTTAGAGACTATTTTAAACCAATAGGAAATTCAGTTTTTCAGATTTTCATTTAGTTAAACCCGTTTTAACTATACATATTTTGCAGGCAGGAATGGGGACAAATAGCCAAAAAAATAGCCAGGAAACGATTCTACATCGTAACGTATGTTAACCTAATCTAGCGTACTCAAATTGACTGGCTGTAAAAGTATTTATAAATATACCTGAGCATGTGTATAGACCATCTCCTGAATATCCATGCACACATTCACAATTGTAAGAGCCTTGTGTATTGATGCATCTGGCATTTGAATGACAGGAATATGATCCAAGTTGACACTCGTTTATGTCTGTTCAAGACAAAATCGATGTAATATAGTGTCAAGCTACATTGAATTAAAAAATCCCGTTTCCCCTTATTTCACTCGGAATGCTGTTTTCTTTTGTGTTGTTATCTTTTTTTTTTTTAAGGAAAAGAAAAGAAAGTTTACCTCGTGTTTTATATGGCAAGGTTGGATTTTCCGTAAATAAAAACAGGACGAGTACCTTCATTTTCAAATGAACTATGTCTTTGTTTGTTTGTTTTCTTTATTTTTAGCTGTCAGTACCTTTTTTTGATGTTTTGTTGTTATCTTGTTCGACTGTTTCTTGTTTTGTTAATGATTTGTGTTGGTTTTGTTGTTGTTGATGTTTTTCCTTTTTTTGTCTCCTCCCACTCAAGCACCCCTGATTTGGAGATGACTGGGAAGGATACAGATGCTTTCATTGAAAGCGTTTTTGACAGCTTATATAAGAAATGCCACCCCATCAGTTTGAACGTGGTATCGCCCAAAGCAGCCGCTCAGAATGACCGCGCTCTCTGATCAGGTTTTAGAAGTTATCATTAAAAGAGGGGCGTCTATTGATGAAAGGCTTTCAAAGCTCATTATTTCTAGTCTGTGACGACGGCTACAGAATACAGTAGTGTGATGCGTTCTAGCATGATTTATCTCAAAATTACCTGCACATGTGGCACGACCATCCCCCAAATATCCGGATAAACATCTACATTCGTAGGAGCCTTGTATGTTCACGCACTGAGCTTGTGCATGACAGGAATGAGATCCTGACTGACACTCGTCCACGTCTGTAAAACGAAGATTATCGCCAATCAGATGTCAAAGGATATAGTATCAAATGCCAAGCACCATTTCACCAACCTTTTACAAGAAATTTACACCTCTCTTATACCGACTTTAGGCTTTTTCACTTATCAGTGTAAGTTACGTCTGACCTTATTCTGTATATCTGAGCTAACACTTGCAGAATTCAGCCACAGCGTGTTGAAGATTGTTAAGTCGTTCTTATGACTCGTTTTGTTCTCCTCCTACCTGCACATGCAAGAATGCCATGCCCTGCATAACCAGGTAAGCATCTACATTCGTACGATCCCCGAGTATTCACACATTGGGCTTGTACATGGCAGGAAAACAAACCTGACTGACACTCGTCTACATCTGTTTGAAACAACTTAGATAAGTTACAGAAACACAGGGACAAGCGAAGCAAAATGCACTTTAACTGATACAGAGAATAATACATGGGCGTGCGTAGATATGGAATTTCTCTTTGAGTATTTAACTCGATAGCTCACGAGTGAGCGCTGCGAACGAGTCAGATATCGAGTTGCACGCGAGAAGAGGAATTTCATATCTGCAAGCAACCATGTATTGTTTTGTTGATCATTTAACACAATAATAGCTCTTTCTTGACAAGAGAAGTTATCTTTATTAATGAATGAAAATAAAAGAATCGCCAATCCCTGAATAAAAATCGTAAAGAGCATTGGCACTGAGGCTCAAGATGAAAAATGCGTTGAAACAATACAAAACCAAACAATGGGCGCAATTTTCAATACACAAAATCCTCAGTTAGTGACTTGGTCCTTACCGACAGAAGAAATCTTTCAGGTACATGGCCAAAATTGGCCTGTGGCAAATCTTCCAATTGTCGATTTTCGTCCTTAGGCGCGAGAAATACCATGCTGAATACGTAATTTTCGGTTTTTCTTTCCATATTTCGGTTTTTTCCCCTTTTAGCAAAGTTTGAACGTCACTATCTGTAAGCGATACGGATTTTTCAGTAGTTTAGCAGCCATAATCTAAAAAAATTCCGACAATGCGAACGACCTTAGATTGAGAATAGTGAAGGCTCCGTCGTTCACTCTTATATCTGGGCGAGTGGCACGAAGGGGGAGTGACGTGTCAGCAGCTGATTGGCGATATCAAACACACGTAAAAAAATACAACATCTTTTCACCTGTGTTGTCACAGCTTTTCTCAGCGCTGGAAATCCTCGTATAACACGGTAATTTGTATGATAAATAAAATTTATTAATTTTGCATCGGCATTTCAACCCAGATATTCTCAAAGTATATTTATGCTGCTTGAACTAGTATTTACCATAACTCAAAATATGCCCATTTTATTCATCCCAACCGCTACACCAAGAACTCTTGTTGAAAACTAGTCGAAGCCCTTAGTTTTACTTTATTTTACCATTCCGGGGGGATGGAAAACTTAGACTCCCCTCCCATAACATTTCCCTACTTAGCACCCCAAAAGAGTGGTAGTGAAATACGCGAAGTATTATTATTATTAGTATTACGTTTATTGTTTTAACGACCAATACAGAAAAGAGTACAAACCTAGACAGTCTCCCTCTTCGAAGGTATATCCAGTGGGGCATACACAACTGAAGGAACCATAGCTGTTCACGCAAGTCGCAGCTTCTGGACAGGAGTCAGCGAAATATTGGCACTCATTGTAATCTGGAATGAAAAGAGATAATAATAATAACAATGATCATAATAATAGTAACTCCAGTTTAAGTAAACTTATGTTGACGAGGAGGTAAGATAATAATCAAAAGCAATGCGTCTATGTACAATAACTATATATGAATATGGAAACGATCCTCGCAGTTATGAACACCACTTAAATAGTAGTAGTAGTAGTAGTAGTAGCAGTAGTAGTAGTAGTAGTAGTAGTAGTAGTAGTGATAATAAGGTCTGAAACGCACAGGCCTGAATTTTTTTCAGGCCTTGTTTTCACTACAACTTAAGAGGCGATCTCTGTAAGAGCGGTCCAGGGTATTTCGCGTCGGAAAAAAAGTTTACCTCAAACTTTGCCCAATAAACTATCTTTGGTAGCAAGTAAAGGAAACCACATTAGTTTCTGGAAGTACGTTAATATAAAATTTTTAGAGCTCTCAAAAGTCAAAGCTGCTAAAGGCCCTTTTTTGACCTCTTGCGACATCGAAAATTTCAAAAGTTGAATACCCTGGCCCTCGTATCACACAGCATGCAGCAAAAAATATTTTGTATTTTTAAACTGTATGGTATGTTAGGTGAACAAAAAGTATTTCAATTTTGATATTTGTTTATTTAGGGGTTCGTCATAATTTATTTAAAAACGCTCGTTTGATAGCTTTCTGAAATTGGTCAAAAGTACTCTTTCCTTCTTGGTTGATATTGCTCAAGTTCAGACCAGACCATTAAAAACTCCGCTTGATTTCTTCTAATATGATGTTTGGCTGCAGAAAAATATAAAAACATCTTGCACTTATTAATTTTGTTCGCCGCGGTGACTTCAAACTTTCAGCGATTTTGCTAGCGTGACAGCCGATTATGCAAATTAGTTCATTGAACAAACTCCGACCGTTTTATATAAGTAGCTCAATAAATCTTAGATTTTAACCATTTTAAGTTGAAAAGATAGTAGGACAGAGCTTTTAGACTACACCGGTTGATACTCTAAACATTTCAAAAGGCCAGAATTTGACAAATTTTACCTTCTCGTGACGTAAGACGTCAACAACAACAATCATAATTTGATTAGCGCTCGCTTAACATTTTAATGGAAAACTCTTTTTTAAAAATTTGGCTTCTGCTATTTCATGCATATTTGAGTTCTGACAGGTTATGCTATTCAAATCTGTATGAACATTTCAGAGCCAAACTACAGGATGGTTAAACGACTGCTAATTCATTTATAAAACATAACGGCGAGAAGTTATCGACCTAGTTTCTCTGTCGCTGTTTTTGCTGAGCGCGCAGTTGTTGACTGACGTTACCGTCCTCTTCCTAAATCACCTTAATATTTCCTGAGTGCTCTCTCTCCCTCCCTCCTCGACGCTGACATTGTGTCGCATTTGCAGTATCTCACTGGCCAATTTGAAGACATAAGTTCATGCCTCGTTTCTGGAGAGAAGGAAGGGCAATTATGACCAGTCACTAATCAACAACGCTGCCGATGAAGCCCAAGCCAGACTTTACAACTTTTCTTAGGTTTATAGACATCAGAATCAAGCATAAGGTCTAAAAGGTGTTTTATTGAAGGCTCTGACTTACAGTAAACATGACGCGCTTATTGACAACTTTTGCACTTGTTACAATTTTCTTTGCTCTGTGCCATGTTCCTCTAGAAGGCACGTTCGTGTTCAAATTATCCTTACTGTAAAAGCCATATTTGATGAGGACGTTTGAGCCAAATCACGAAGTTATTTGAATATCACGTTCTACAATGAATTAGAATTCTCAAAATGAGTTAAACAATCTAGAAATTAACTACAAATTAGACTTCAACTCACTACCAAATATCTAATTTAGTGATATTCTTAGACCTTTTCATTACTTTTTTTTATTTTGAGTAAATTATCAGTAATGTAAGCATGATATATATGGACACCACTTTAAGTCCTAATGATTATAACGCTCGCAAAGGAGTTATGAAAATTCTATTAAATGGCTACCTAGCTTATTGATAAACTTCAAGACCACTAATAAGCAATGTCTTGTATTTTTTTTTTTTCTTCGAAGCGTAGTCTGGGTGCAAAATTCTCACAAGCGAGTTGCGAAAATAAACTATTATAATTTTTATTGAATCACTAAATTCCCTGGCATACCTAAACGTTTTTTATAAGTTATTTGATAAATCTGCACTCGCAATAAACGTCCTAAAATCACGAAAAAAACGTCTCTTTACATCTAGGTTGTATTATAATGCTCGAAAAGGAGTTATAGAAATTCTAAAAATCAACTATTTAGATTACTACTCGGGTAACTTAATAAACTGCCAAAGAACTGATTAATGACTTCTCATCCAATAAAATTTTAACTATTCTTTTGTTACATCTTTAATTTTCTTCTCTAAGAGATAGTGATGAAATAGAAAAAAAAAACAAACAAAAAAAAAGATATCGATACTTAGCTGTGGAACTGGGGTATTTATATAGTTGTTATGATCATGCAGAGTCTATCAGAACTAAGGCCCAGGCCGTAAAATTTTCTGAGTTCTTTAATATAATCTGAAGCCTCAAATAACCGTTACTGTAACTCTTACTGAATAAAATTCTCGTAAACGAGTCAAGAAGTTTTATGAAATTAACTATTTCGATCATCAGGATATTATTAGATATTAACGATGTGAGATGTTAAACAGTAAATGCTTTGTTTTCTTTTAGATTAAAGAACCTAGAAATGAGCTATTAATCGCTAAAACATGCAATTTTGAAATATGCTAAAAGAAAAACACTAACAGGTAGTTAAACTTGTCAAAGTCAACACATAAATACACACAAAAATTAAATAAAATAAACAAACAAAAAATAAACATTAAAAAGAAAACAGACAAAATCAAACGGAAATGAAGACAGAACTGTGATTACACGCCCATTCAGAGATAGCGCCCAATATGTTCTATAGCATGTTTTGTAATCTATAGTTCAGCTAACTAACTTAGTATCGAAGGGAAAATAAACAAAAAGGATTGTTTTGACTAAGATACTTCCAGAGATACTACATAATGATTACTACAATTCCATTTCTTCTTGAATTCTTGAATTCTCTTCTTCAGTCTTCACGGTCTCTTTAGTAATGGAAGGAGTAAAAGCACATTGATTTATTTATTGCAAAACCTGTGTATTGATGATTTGTTTGCTTGATCAGCCAACCGTCAGTCGGTAAACTGGTTCAGGCTTCTGACTCAGTAGGCAGCTAGAAAATGAATTAGTTTATTGCCATGCCCACAGCAAGGGAAACAGTCAGGCAGACAGTCAGGCAGAAATTCAAGCAGATAGTTATACCATCTGTCTGTCAGGTTAATCAGTTAATGTAATCTGACATCGTAGTGGCCAGCTCACCAGTTGGTCCGTTGACCAGACAGTATTATTCAGATTATGAAGAGGTTCAACTGAACTGAAGGTTCAAGAAATCAGGAGTCAACAGCCCATGCATGTACACGGAAATGCATCAGAGCAAAAGTACAAAAATTTCACCCTTCATCTCAAATCTGAAACTGGTTTCATAAGTTTGATAAGATATCAAAAAATGCACAAATTTTTTAAAGGTTTTCCGCACCCTTCAGTCAGTGGTACTTACTATTGAAGAAGACACAACAAACATTTACCTTGGTTCGAAAAGCAAGAACTAAAGTCTGGTATCAAAAACCCTTCTTCCCCTGCTTGGAACACGAAAAGAGAAAAATATATATATTAAGCTACTTAATCAGAAGTTATTATTGCTAACACAATTCTAACTTGTCTGTGTTAAAGAGTTTTAAAAGTTGAGGTTCACGACGTCATAAGCCTCGCTTCTAATTAATTAGCTTTACCACGTGGCAGCTATGTTTCCTCCATCTAAGCAAACATCTTTATAGCTAAGAAATGTTACAAAAAGTGAGAGAGCTCTGGAAGATTCAAAGGTGCCATATTTAGTGTCAGTATTGCAAGTCAGGCCGTTCACTGTGACGAAGTACAATGTACTCGAGTATTCCTCTTTTCTCTTAATTCAATCACTTCTGATGTGGACCGCCGCGTTTCAACTTTCCTCAGACAATAACGTGGACAGATTATGTGTTAATTCATGACCACTTCGAGTCTATGTTGGCTGATTTATAAAGAACTCTACCTTTCTCTGTGTCCTCCATGTCAGGCTCAAGCCGCTTCTTTTCTTCTTCTTCTTCTTCTGCCTTTTGAGCTTTTATAAAAGATGATTAATTGAACAAAAAGTGAATTAGAACTCAGTCTTTCAATTTATTTCTTTTTCCTTTACTTCAGCATGTTTACGAATCATTCATTTTTCATTGGCTACCAAGATGAAAGATATGCCTCAATAACTAATCTGGTGCCTTAACCTCTTGAGCGAGAAACAAAAAACCCTCCCTCTCCTTTACCTTCCTCACTAGGTATTGGAATTTCTTCACTCTCCACTTTCTCCTCAGATTTTCCAGCTGTGTGATAGCAAAGTTATTTATTAGAATGTGGTAAAGTACATAAATATATAAAGTTGCTAGATGGTAAACTCGGCCCATGGCCCTTCTATTAAATCAGTAAATTGGCCCAGTTAGCTTTAAATTTATAACAAATACATAAATGATAATAATCATGATAATAATAATAAAGCTTGTATCGTATGCAAAAATAACTAGGTGAAAGTTATGGTAAATAATGTACAGTTCTTAAAAAAAAATGAATCGTTGTATTTACCTTCCTTAGTTAGCTCTTCTCTGTCAAGCTTTTTTTCTCCTTCTGAAGAAATTGAATTAGAACATATTGTACCTATTAAATGATGTTCATTTGAAGTATTGCAATTGACGAAGGTCAACGTTTGCCACCAATTCATCAATCACTTTTGTCTCTGTTGCTTCAGATACTGAATAAGTGCGTATACAACGCCTACACGTAAATGCCCTTGAAATTTAACTCGACTGACGCAGAATGCCGAAATTGAACGAGGCAAAGCTGGTGCCCTCTTCCGTCTTCTCCAGAAGACAATGTGTTTGATAAAAGATACATCAGTACTCAGCCATTCAATCTTGTTTTTACTGAAGCATTTCATGAAATATTTTTTTTGGTTTCTTTTTTTCAGTGACTACTAAGGTGAAAGATATGTTTCCATAACCTCCTTAATCTCTTGAGTGACCAATTAAAGCTACCCTCTCCTTTACCTTTGTCACTTGCCCTTGGAATCTCTTCACTCTCCACCTGCTCCACAGATTTTTCAGCTGTGTGATAGCAAAGTTATTAATTATGATGAAGTATAAGGACCTTAAGACAGACGTATATAAAGCAATAGACTTGCCCTCACTGTCACTTTGTGAGTTAGCCAGGAAATTGGCCCAGATGGCAGATAAGTTCAAGAAAAGGTGACTTCCACTATATGCGGAAATAAAGGAAACTTATGTCGCACAATGTACAGTTCAAGAAAAAAATCATTCTATTTACCTTCCTCAGCTAGCTCTTTAGTCTCAGGCCTTGTCTCTCCTCCTTGGACTGCAGAAACTTGCACTTAGTACAAAAAATTTATAGTCAACGAATGACATTCATTTGAATAATTGAAAATAACGAATCGAAAGTGATCGAAATTGTGGGAGGATCACCAGAGAGAGAGAGGACACTTCTTAAAGCCTTTGCTCAATTGCCACCAATTTGCCAGATAACTGTTATCCCTGTTGCTTCAGGTACTAAAAGAATGCGCACAAAAGACCTTAATGCAGATGCCCCTCAACTTTAAAATATTTCGAATTTCGACTCAGAAAGCGAAAAAAATGTTGAGACTAAGCTGGTACTCTATTTCAGTCAAACGTTTTTTCAACAACTTAAAATTGAAAATATCTTGACATTAACCAAAGTAAGGTTATGTGTCCACCGAAACCGATGTGTACGACAATTTCCATATATATATTTCAAAGCTTGTATCAAGAGCTACGAGTTACATCAACGGCGAGCCTCCACATATAAAAAAGGTTCCTGTAAGCACCTTAAACTTCAGTCACTTCTAGTCTCTCCTGTAGTCGGATCTTTCATAAATTCAATGTGAAATAATGGTTTCATAAAAATAGACACTTATCAACATCAGAGCCTTCCGTCAAAGAGTAGACAATCCTAGTTACAAAAGGAGTTCAATATATACCTTCTTTTTGACTTTTTCGTCGATGCTGGCTTTCACCATGATGAACAGCAACTGCAATAAAGAATATCCTTCTTTTAAATAAGTTGTAAATTGTTTGGGAGAGGGTCCAACGTTGATAACAAATCTTATTTGAGTCTAACTACATTCAAACATGAATAGAACTACTCCCTTCTCTCTATTCCGCCAAAGAGGATTAAAACAGTTTCAAGCAAAATGTGCGAACCTCTTACTCACACAACTACCTACTATACTTTAGCGTGGGAAATTAGAAATTCGCTTTTTGCGTTCGAATCTCCGTCCTATTTCATTTTTTTTTCTTAGAGGTTAGCTTGCTGCTAATAATTATCTATTGATGTTATTAACCAGGTATTACGCAAGAGTCTTCCCACCAAAATATACAACGCCTCATGTTGAGTGCGTTAAGGAAATAAATACTTCTAATTTTGCACAATTTCCTTTCACACCTAGTGTCCGCGAGACTATCAATCCAAAGTTAAAAATCTTTTTCGGAATTTGCAATGACTCGTTACTTTCAGTAGGTAGGGAAGGCTTCTCTTATAAATTCCTTCGTAGGAGAAACTTGGAGTCTTTTTGTATAAACTGGTGGTAACAGCCAGCACTAATAATATAGTTTCCTACAAAAAGTTCTTTACCTTCCACAGTCTTTTTAGTGGCTGGTCTGATATCAAAATCATCCTCATAATCTGTTTCAAACAACAAGTAGAGTGAAACATGTCATAACTTTTGTGGTTCGTTTATTCTTCAAATGAATTTTACAGAAAATAATATTCGTATGACGTAATTCAGATACGAAATCAAAATAAAACAAATAAACAAACATAAAATACCTTCGATAAAGTTTACTGTACAGTTTAGTTTCCGCATTGAATGCGCATAAACTTAACAACTTCTAGCACGATAGATTACTCAGTTGAGTTAAAACTTGGTTAAACTTGTCATACAGCTCGCATTGTTTTACATCTGCGAGTTTGTGCGCATGAGATAGTCTGTTGAAGTCATACTTTTGCAAAAGACAGTTGATTTGATCGAATACTTTCAAGTTCTTTTATTCATTCCTACTACTTTATTTCTTGCAAAGTAGTTGGCGATTTTTAGGAACAGTTGTAAAAAGCGGTTGAAGTCATAGCTTCAGTACTGATATTGTGAATGAAGCGGCTGTCTACGACTTTATTTCATATATTTTCATGAATGAAGTTTCAAGAGGAAGAACAACAACATCAACTGAAATAATGATAATAATAATAATAATGATAATAATAATAATAATAATTATAATAATAGGCAGGAAATTTAAATTCAAGTTAGAAGACATTATACCTGAGGAAGATGGAGTCTCATCCCCACCACAGGCTTGTTCCATTGCTGTTGATGGTTCAAATCGTTATGTTAGAGTTATTTATCAGATAATAAAAGCAAAAAGATAAAACATTGAATGATCATTTCAATACGTATCATTCATATATTAGATCTGTGCCATATTGATAACGATATTACCTTTGTTGCAAATGACACCTGTGCAGGTTTCTAATTTAAAGGGATGGGGATCTCAAAGGGGAAGTTCAGAAACTGAGTCGTCGAAAAAGCTGTCGTCAGAATTGTTGTATGTAACTTGTGAAAAACCAAAGGATTTTTTTTGCAATTATTAACCAAAGGTGACAAAACCAATCACATTTATGTCATTTGAGGAAACATTTCCTTAATCTTTCCCTAACCAAAATTCACACGTATCAAAATAGAAAAGAATAGTATGTTTCATCATAGGTATTTCAATTTGAAAGAGCTCACCCACTTCAGTGGATTACTTGATTACAGTTGAAATCAGAAAGTCAATCACATATTAACATTAACATCAAAACATTATACATTTATACACATAAGTAATGAATGCGAGTTCTGAGTCGACCTATTAACCTCAAAGATTTACCGTTTGATTCCCTAGTTTTCTAATTGGCTAGTTTTGAAATGATGTTTTAAGGAAATAAGCATACATATGGAATACTGACCCGGTTGCGGAGCAGGCAATTCAGGGGCTTCCACTTCTGGGACTTCGTTGTGTTCTATTACTTGCATTTCAATCTGTTCTCCTATGGGGAAGATAATGCAGACACAAAAACAAACAAAAAATGGGATTAAGAAGGGAAGAGAAGAAACGAAAGAAAGGTATTACACACAAAACCATGACGAGGCAAAGAGAATATACACATTGGGAATCACTATATTTACCCCCTTCGTTGTTAGCGTGTTCATGTCCATTTCCGATCTGTCCCTGCTGATTATTTACTCCTTCTAAGTAATAAAATAGCAGTAACATATCTTTTTTGGTCCTCTCCAAACGGAGAATAAACTACTGTTAAGCCTATCCAAATATTTTAAGGAGGAGGCGGGGGGGTAAGTTTCTGAAGAAGCTGTGGCGCTGCGTCGGTGGAGGAGTATAACACACCAAACTATCTCGTCCACATATTGATTTTAAAAAATCCTTCTACCAGTCAGATTGTTTCTTTCCCTTGATTGAATTGAAGACCGAAGCTCAACCATTTATTGTTTTTTAATTGCTTGTTTGCCCCTTAATAATTTTTTGAAGTAATAATGATAATTCCAATAATAATTCAAATAAATTTCTGAAGTGCATTGTTCTAATCTCTACTCACACCTATACCCCCTTTCAAGGTCTGATTATGATATGTATAAATGGACTATAGCACCGTGCCTTCTTGATTTTGTCCACTGCTGAAAATCGATCGAACATTGGACCACGCCTTCCTCAATTTTGCTTTCAAAACAGCTTGAACCTATACAGTAGAAATTTAGTTAATAAAGTATGTCGGAATATAGATCAAACCGCTTTTAAATTCAAGTTGGTCTCCATGGTTATAACCAACAGCGGAGAAACAAACAAACAACTTTGCGATCATTCATATTTTTTTCCACGCCCATTTTTTCTCCTTTTGGGTTATTTTTTTTTCTGTCATAAGGACATGAGAGACCGTCTTTGATTCACAATAGGAAAATTTCTAATAAAAAAAAAACCGTTGGGACCGCGGGTGATTGATTCAGATAACTATCTCGCAAAGATGTCTCTTAAAACAACAAATGAAAGAATGTTCCATTCAAAAGCAATAAAAATGGTACCTGTGGAGTAGAAAGGGTATATAGCAGTGGGTTGATAGCTGAATTGATCGGCAAGGCGAACACTGCAATCCACACTGCCAGATCACCAGGTGGATCAAACGTTTTCTCGACGTGCGACTTAATGCCGATAGCAATGATTGGTACCCAACACAAGAAATCGGTCAGAATAATGAAGAAGACTCTTTTGGCAAGTGCTCTTTCTCTTTTGGCCTGTGCGCTTTGTGCTCTTGCTCGTATTTCACGAACAGTTCCATGCGCACCCACCTGTCTGCTTGACGACCATGATTTCAACAAGATGGCAACATAAGCAACCGTAATAAATAGGAAAAGAGAAAAATTTAAAACGATAAAGATGGAAGTGGAGAATTCCCAGCCTTCTTGTAATTGCGGGGAAAGTTGCAGGGGCAGGCACACCACGTTCTTGCCATAATACCAGTCACCAAAATATCGCATTCCAGACAACGGAAGGAATGCCATGATGCCTCCCACAAGCCAGATAACTACACACATAATACGGGTCTGCCTTGGTGTAATTTTTGCAAACGTGTAAGGAAACACAATGTTCTTGAGCCTGTCCCATGCAATCAGAGAAATCATCATAACAGACACCTCGCTTGAAAGTACAGACATGGCCCCATTGAAATGGCAAAACCAGCCGGTGCGCCACTCATAGTCGTGCAGGTAGTATTCCCCTGACCATTGCAGGTCTTTTATACCTATAATGATGAGGTAAATACCCATGATGCCGTCTGAAATACCCAGATTTACCAACATAATAGACTGGACCATATTGTTATCAGGTAAGAAATACTGCCACCCAACTACAAACACAGACCCAAACAACGAAAGAAGGCCGACAACCCAAAGACTTCTCCTTGGAGCAAGGTTGCGGAACATGGAGTGACAGCTTGCGAAGTTATCATTGAAGGCAAATTCGCAATCGGCATCCTGCCTGAAAAGATCAAGGTGGCAGCACATCAGGTTGGTGTCCAGAGTTCTGGAATTAGAAAAAAAAGAGGAAATTAGAAAGGGTTCATCGTTAGAACAATGAGAGCAAAATTATGATTATCCAAAACGATCGGCAAGAAAATAGTGATCTATGCTGAGGCAAAGATAATTGATAAGCATTTTTCATAAATTAATAGCAATTAGAAAGTCACGCGAAGCATGCCTTAGGCAATTTTATTTAAAATCTAAATAAGGCTTCATATCATTTCAGGATTGGAATTGTCAGAAGGTGTTAACGTGAATGAAAATTTATTGATCAACTGAACCACAACAGACTGAAGGAAACAAAATCATTAAAATGATTGCATCACCCATATCACAATTTGACAATAATTTCTATTTCAAAGGTAATTCAGACAACATTCGCCCCAAATCTCCTATTAAGCCATCGTGTTAAATTATTATAATGGAGTATTACACTCTGATAATGTGCGGCAAAAGCCCAAAAAAGCCTTTGGGGAGCTCAGCCATCAGGTTGTAGTGCATGAACCTGAAAGTTTAAAATAGAAGGTGAAAATTAAGTCAGATTATAATAAATTGCATATCTCATTTTCCCAAATAAGTAGTTGCAAACAAAATTAAAAGTTATACCCAATTAACTATAACACACTAAATTAACTTCAAACCTGCATCTTATCCGATTGCAATACATGCGGCGTTATTGTAAGTACTGTGATAAAAAACTGCCATTTACAGTGAACTTACAAAAATCGCAGTTCCCGGGCATTACTGAAAGTCGTGCTGGTGACATTTTGTATTTTATTGCCAAAGATATTTCTGCAAAAATTAATAACATAACTATTAACTAGCAGATGGTAAACAGGGTCTTGCATTGTGTGATTCTTAAAATTTCACCTGAAGTTGCCGTCGGAACTATCATAGTTCTCAACTATGTTTGTTTGCTTTTTTGATAATATCCACCTTTGCTCAATAAAACCATGTTCATAGCAAGCCACACTTTTTTCGTTGAGAAAATAGCTAGTAATAAAATTAAGTTGTTGAACATTACAATTTACACCACGCCTGTTGGAGATCATGTTAACATTTTCAAATAAGAATTCCATATTGTGAGTCTTTCTGTTGTGTACATTTTCATCTTCTTAAAAAAATTTAGAAATTGTTTCGTATGTAATCAGCTGTACTCACAGGCCCTTGAGGTTCTTAACTCCCTCAAAAATCTTGTCAGGCAAAGCCTCGATTCTGTTCTCCGAGAGATGTCTTAAACAGGTTAGGGGGAATTTAGATTAATATACAAGTAACATAGAATAACTAGGCGCGGCGCATCTAATTTAAACAGCAAAACTGATATCAAAATTATACCACAATTATATAGATCTGGTGACAAACATTGTGATCAATTTATTATAGGGGCTAGTACTAATAGAGGATACTAACTATATTTACTAAGGAGGTGTTCCCTATTATGGCTCCTGATTTTCTATTCCAACTAAAATCTGTGCAAGCTAATTCCCTCAGAAAATTAATCGCATGGTAACTTTAATCCGAACCTTTGCACTTCAACTCAATATTTATAGACTCAGCTAAATTGAAGCCATTTTTTTCTTTGTTCAAAAAAGCTCTTTTCCTTTCAAGCTAACTTTATCATTGCGGCTCTATAATCTGAAGGACGAATATGAACAGAAATCTCATTAATGCACATGAGCCGTTTATCGCTTAAACGTTAAAATAAAAAACCTTGGTAATATATGATTATCATGCACTTCTTCGGGTATCACCTCTCTCCATTTAAATATAGTTAGTTTGTAAACATTTTCTTGCCAACTTTTATTCATTTTATTAGTTTTTTTAAATTCATATGAATGGGCTGGTTCTAAAATATGCTTTAGATTGCAACAGACCATGATGAAAAAATTAACGTTTAAGTCTAAATGTACTCACAACTCGAACAACTCCACTAAGCCCTGGAATTGATCTTCATGAAGCCTCTCAATTTTGTTGTATTCCATTTTCCTGAAAAAGCGCGGTGCAGATGTTAGACTGAAATACACACATGAAGGGATATCTTTAAATCTACTTTTGTCTTAATTATCTTCTGAATTTACTGAAGTACAATTAGCTCCCGGGTTTGATATTTGAATATCACAGAAAAAAAAAAAACTTAGACCCACATGAAACTTTTTATGCTCTCAGGCTAGAGAAACTTTAGATTTTATTACCAGAAACCTCTGCATCAGGTCTGTTGTTTAAAGCTGAGTTTGAAAAATCGTAAGTAAGCTATTGCCCGTTTTAGAAAAAATTATTTAGGTTGCTTTAGTATCTAAGTCAACAAATTATAAGCCTCTATCGCAAAATATAATTGCAAGACAAAAACAATTTAGCAGCTTAAATTAAATAAGAAATGTAAATTGCTATAGACTAGGAAGCCGATTTACTCACTTATTGCTGTTATTGCAAGGTAACTCTTAGAGACAGCTTTTTTTATTTATCTTAACTCAAAGAGAATCTCACTTACAGAAATCTCACAGCTGTAATGTTTTTAAAGATGTATGGCGGTAGATTTCCAAGTTCATTATTTGACAAATCCCTAGAATGTAATAATAACTGTAGTTACGAATCTATTATCATGAAATTACCAATACTGATTCATAGAATAAAAAATATTGCCTGCTTTTGAAGAACAACTGTTCATAAAATAATGTTTGCCTCCGCAGTAGTTTCCAGTTTAATGTATTTATTTTGAGTTCCTTAGCTATCTGGAGGAACATTATAGATGGTTAATTTTTTTCAAAATCCGGCAACAAAACGCTGGTTATGACACTATCAAGAAACGATATAGTGCGGAACAAAAGAGCAGAAGATAATCCGTGAATATTTTCTGGGAAAAAATATCATGCAGAAAGCTTTTTTCATACAAAATAGAAAAATTGATTATAATATACTAAATACTAAATATACTATTTATACTTAATACTCTCACGACGACGAAAAAAAGGAATACAAAAACGCGGAATGTATCATAATGTTGCTACCTCGCGTGCAGTAGTTGAACAATACCCAACTTGAAAATGATCAACACTAATTAATCATTTTATTTTTATTAATATTATTTTTATTGTCATTGTTTTTATTGAGATTACATTTATTACTGTTGTTGCAGCCTTGGTTTACTGGTTTATCATGCTGTGCTAAAAGCAGGTGTTTTACCCGGACAAAATTTTGAGTTGCTAAGTTGCTATCAAACAGAAGCAAATCACGAATAAGGTTTTCATTGATTTTCAAACCTCCAAGTACGTCAACTTTACTCACCAAAGCACATCTACATAACATAGCATTCTAAAATTCACCTAAACAGTTTTACAAAAATTGACTGTGAAATTTTCATGACACGGAGACAAAAAGCAAAATCCCTAGAGTTTATTGCTAATCCTTATGGAGGAGAATGATCCTGGGGTTGTGGGTCTTCTTTTCTTTTGCTCTCCTTATAATCAGTGACTTCCTTCAGCGTAGTTTCATCTGGCAACTTATTCATTTTATCACCAAAACTGTGTTGCAAATTTCGACTGATACCCACGTCAGACCTTTCAGTGTTACCTTACGTGTTTCTGTTAACTGAATGTGGCCACGCAGCTTTGAGAAATGTGCCTTTTGTAAAAATTCAATGACCTCTTTTCGCATTTTTCTTTTGATTAATGATTATTTTACTCACAGATATGTCAGGTTGGAAAGGCTGTTAAAAATTCCATCCGGTAGAGTCTTCAATTTGTTATTTGACAGATAGCTGATATGAATAACAAGATAGGAAAGTGCATCTTAATTTGCACCGTTATTTGAAATTCGTAAGTAAAGAAACATACAGACGCTGGTCATCAAGAATAATAAAAGCACTGAATGTAGTCGTGTACAAGCAATGTGCATAATCTCATAAAGAGAAAGGAACAGTTAATGCAGTGCAATCGTCTTAGCTATTTCGCTATTTCTACAGAAAAGGAACAACCGGTTGACAACTTGAAATTTGATCGCACACTAAACACTGCTATCTAAGGTTGGCAGGAGCTGATTATCCCTACTATTCCAGTGAATTATTCAGTATAGAAATCATCCAGCCCGTGTCTTATGAAGACATCTAACTAGTTCACAACAGAAAATTATGTAATGACCACACATTTTATGGCACGCATCGATTTCGTTGCTGTATGACTGAAAATCTCCTATTCTGATTATCAGAACAAAAGTGAGGGAACAGTTTAGGATGGTTCAATTGGTTTTCTTTTTTTTTAATTTTTGTGCTGAGGGTAATATCAGAAAAGTTTGAAAATGGAAATATCTCGTCCAATCTCGTATAATTAGTGACGCGATAATATGGTGACCAGCATATTATTGTCTATATAATTACACGAGCAGGCCTGTTGTGGAAGGGAGATGACATTGAAAGCTAAAAATCATCCCTTAACCAAAGTCATAAAGCTAAATAGCTAAAGAGCGTCTCCATGTAACTTACAGCTCATTTAGGCCTTTTAGATCTTTGAATAATTCGGGAGGCAATTCAGTGAAATTGTTGTCTTGCAACCATCTGTGTTGAAGAAGAGACATCTACTTAGTTTTATTGAAAAGCTTACAAAATTATTAGTCTATAGGTTAAATTGGTGCACGAGCGATAAGAGAATAAAAACTGAAACACAGTTATTTCTAATAACTGCATCGTGTGAAAAGCAACAGGAAAAATAATTACATATGTAACTGACAATAAATCACAACAAAATGCAATGCCATTCGATGCAATGCAATACGACCAAGTTCTATGAACTTATGCAACGAGTGAGAGGACCGAACTGGAAATTGCCTGGCTCGAAATCATGGCGCACTTACCGAGTGGAATGCAACGGGCTCTATGATAAACAGAATTTTAGAAGGACAAACCGATAATGGTTTCTCAACCTGATGCAATCTAAAGAATTCATATTTAATTTACCTCGGTTCTACAAGTTATCAACTGCGATGATTTACATCAGAGGATATGTTGATAAACCTTTTTCGGAGATATATTTTTGACAAAAAGGGTCGTTTGAGTGTAATCAGAATTTGAACCTTTCCTAACTTTTATTATTTGACTGATTTCAAAAAGTTATCAGTTCTCTTCGTTTATCTAGATCTGTTTCCATATCATTGTACAGCATGAGTCATAAGACGGATGCCAATAGATTGCGATCCTGCGAACGGAAATCATTGTTACCATGTTTGACTTTGTTTTTACGAGAAACTTACAGTTCCTTTAAAAGTATCATGTTTCTGAAGGCGCTTCTATTTAATCCTTTCATGTCGTTGTCATTCAGGCGCCTGCGTTATTTACCAAATAAACTGATTAATAGTGTTAAGATACCCCTGAAGTTTATCGCTCAGGGTAGGGGAATCACCGAGACTATTATTAATGTCTTGCCGATTTGGCAAAAATTTGCATTGCTTTCATAAATGATTATTTGCTTGTGCTAACTTCATCCTGAATACTCATCAAATCACACTGCAATATACTTAAATTATACAAAGAGAAAGTGTGGTTTTTAATTGCATTCGGTCTATAATGGAGATTTGATGAAAATATTTTGAATAAACACCTGGTAATGCCTGTTTTAAATGTGACAATCGATGTCAGAGTGCCTCCTTGATTTGAGTCCCAAGGTTTCTCTACGACACCTTGACTTGTATCAGTTTGAAAACAAAAATAATTAGAGGGTTTTAGAGCTATTCAGCAGTAAAAGAGGCACATCTTAGCCGCACTTCAAGAAAGATTTGGTAATATTTTATGTATCATTGAGTCTCTTAAATTTCTTGTTCTTCTGGATATGCGAAATAGGTGCTTTACATTTGTTTACGTACATAAATAAGACTCGCTCGTCAATAATCCGGAGTTTAAATCGTTAAGACAGAAAGTTTACTTACAAAAACTCCAATCTTGTGTTATTCTCAAAGATTCCCAGGGGAAGGTTGTGCAATTGCATTTCAGACAAGTACCTAATGATATAGTACACATGCATAAGAGTTGCATAAAGTATAAATAGCAGCAATACTGTACCAGAACTTTTGTTAACATTTAAGGATAACTTAAACTAATAACTACATTTTTGTAGTTATTGCGATTTCATGACAAATTTGTTTTCATTTTTTTCCTTAATAGGCTGCAATACGATTTATTTCCGTAACGAAAAAATAGCAAAACAAAGTGCGTTAACTACATATTTTCTCTTTCTTCATTTATCCATGCCAGCTAGTGATTAACAATTTCCGAGTGAGTTACGCATTTCTCGGATTGAATTAAGTTTTTTTAAAAGCTATGACCGTCACTTGAAGTCCAGTGAAAATCTCAGTGAAAATTATGTTTTGAAGTTAATTAATTCTCATCGTCTTCTGGGCCGTAAGACCTTCTAATCACGTGTCTTCTAGCGAAAGACATTTGAAAGTTTAATTTTGAAAATATCATGGATTCCTAACTCCCTTTGAAGATTGATAGAGGAGAGTATACATAGAAAAGTAGGGAAAATATTTAAAATAATGACAGTAACAGGGGAACCGGGCAAATTCGAAATGAAACACAGAAATTAAGATCACCACCCCTTCCTTCCTTCCCCCTTGTGTTTTCGTTACGTTGCGATATTTTGAAACGTTTTTACCTTAAAGAAATACCTGCTATGTCATCTACAAGATATTGTTAATATTATGGGATACATATGCAAATGATGCTGCTGGTAGCCAGTCAGGCCCTAAAAGATTCTGCCAGTAAGAATGGAAATTATGCTACCTCTTCCTTAATTTCAACTAAGAAACAAACAAAAAAAATCCAAATTGTTGATAAAGCATGATGTATTTCCTTCACTTTTTTGTTAGTTATTTACTTATTCTGATAACTGCCAGCGAGGTGTGCGGACGAATATTTGATCACTCGGCGTTCATGCAATTTTTCCCTCTATGCCTAGTCCGAATGTTAGCTCGCTTTAGAGAATATGTAAGCTTCAAATCCGAAATTGCTGTTCTGAAAAAAAAAAAAATGAAAACTTTTAGAATTCGCTTAAACTTAGCGTCAACGATGCTAATGTCTCCAACAATGACGGCGAAGTGAGTCGACCGGCGATATCACAGGACGAGACTTTGAAAACCCTGCAATTTTATGTCAAGTCTTACGATGACCTTCGCCAGTAAGCGGATAAAAGTTTGCAACAGCTCTGGTCACGCCTGAATGTCCTGTCAAAACGAGTGGAAGAGATTGGGAAATCCATCGAGCTGATTCAGCGCTACAGTTATCAATACAACGTAAGATCGTCGGTCTCCCTGAAATAAAGGCAAGTGAGTCAGCATTCGACACAATTATATTATGTCTTAGCCTCTTTCAAGCTGCAAGAGTTGAAATCTCTATTCCAGATATCGATATTGCTTATCGTACTCCCACAAGAAACGCCATTCCTGGCCCAAGACCAGTCGTTTGCAAGTTCACAAGAAGAACTGCGAAAGAGAAGGTCATGAATTTACGGAAAGATGCATGTAAGGTTACAGCTTCTTCAATTGGTTAACCTGCCGATTGCACGTCGGAGAACGAGAAGCTTTTTGACCATCTAACT